ACAGTTTAGAGTTCAATTTCATTTAAATTTAATTAAAAGTCGAGCCAGGTTAGGTATCATCGAATACTTGTGAGATGAGGTTGGCTGAAAACATTTCCTGTTAAAGAAGAGATCAATGGGACGCGTGAAGCAAGTAAGCTGAGCTCTCTCAGTGATCACGCCTGTGATCGGGCCTTTGAGATGAAGTCGGCGGAAAACATTTCCTGTTCAAGATGAGATCAATGGAACGCATGAAGTAAGTAAGCTGTCCCAGTGATCGCGTCTTTGTCTTCTTTGCAACATGAAAATTGGACCACGCACATTCGCTTCCATTCGTAAAGAGAAACTATTTTAATGTACTAAAGCTTGTTGAGGGTTCAAATCCCACCGAGGCCACCAAGTTTTACACAACTGCGCCAAATGAATGTGTTAATAAAATGTTGCACTTTCGCTCGAAATCCGCAAGTGCCGTGAAGAGCATTTACCATGGGATACGCGCTAAGAGCAAGGAGAGGCTTTTTCACGAAGTGTTGAAGGACGCCTTCAGGACAGACGATCGACGTTAGACAAAAGAACGATAAATGCCGACGCCATTTGCGACTTTTATGGGGTTGCAGGAATACGCAAACTGCCGAGCCTGCTAAACGCGAGAAAGAGCAGCTAATTGGTTCTAAAAGCGTCTTTTAAAGCACACAGGAACATTAAGAAAATGAAGTGGGGAGCTGACAGTATTCACGGGGAGCACATTTATGGCATGGATATGCAAGTATTTTAAAAGAAATGCCGTTAAACATTGAAAATTTTGAGAAAATTAAAACATAACGCACGTTTTCCTCATTGACAGTCCGAACATCCTCAGACATCTCAGAGCTGAAAAAGGCGAAGGAGAAAAAAAGATCTTTGTTGTAGAAGCAATTGTTCGAGATAGTTAAGTATTAATACATGCGTAGTGCGAAGAGATGTTAAAAAATGCTGGCCATAGGAATGCAAACGCACTCGTACCCCCATAAAGGCACTAAGAGGCACAACTTGTTTTCAAGAAATGCCTTGCTGACATAATAATGCATACGACTAGAAGAGTATTGCAGGCACCAGGGTTAACAAACTAACAAGCCCATGATAAAAGAAATAAAGAAGATCATATGCAGATTCCACTATCGGTAAGCGAACACCACTTTCTAAAAAGAAGATGCGATCGCTGAACCGAGAACTCTATTGGTCCGACATTTGGGCGCCGGCGGCTGGCGCGACCCCAGCCGCCTCTAAACGTGTTGCTACAGACCACACGGGTACCACCGACTAAGACAAAAGAGGAACAGGTTTCTCGAAGCAAGGCGATGCACGTGTCCGTGGCCAAGCAGTAGAGGACCAGTTGGCAGTGGGAGACGGTGCTGCGTGGCGGGTGCCATAGTGGGTAGCACATG